AAGCTGTTTTACTCCATAATACTAGGTCTAGCCTTCAGAAAACTCCAATTACTTTTCCCTTTCCAAGAATTTCCTCTGTTTGCACTAACTGACAGCTAGTGACTAGATTCTGAAACAGCACAACAGGCTGAAGCAGTAACAGTTATTTACTACTATCTAAAAATGTGGTAAGAAGTACAGGTACTGGGAAAATGGGAAAACCTTTTTTTAAAGTATCTGTTTTGGAGGATGCCCGCTCAATAGATGTGTTATATAAACAGGCCTTTGATGGAAACCACTCTTTACTTAGCCTCCCCAGCTGCAACTAAGTTCAAAGATTCCTATTAAAGTGTGCAATAAACACCTGTATTATTATCAGTTGAGACATTTGTCTGAAAATATTTGTTCCCAGCTATTATCCTGTAAACCATTTCATCTTGAGCAAGATTACAAAACAAACCATATCTTCAAATGTCACAGGAACAGCTCCTGAAAAACTAAGCGTCCCTGACAACATAAATCATTCTAGGCAGCTTGTAGTGGCAAAGCACCACCATGGTCTGGTGGTTCTCAAATACATGTACCAATATGGATTAAGGTTTGCTAGGCAAAAAAACCCACAAATAAGTATCCACATGAAAACAAGCTTATATCAAATCAACAGCAATAAAAAAAGTACAGTGGAATTGCTGTTGCAGGCAGATAGAGGGACAGTCCTTAAATAAAAGTAGAAACTGGGATCACAAAGACCTCATTGGAAGCTGAGGAAAAGCTTCCTCCATCTTGGCTAAAACACATGTTAGAATAATGATTTTCTTCCAAGTCTTTGCCTTATCTCCAAAGCTTTAATTTCATATGACCTAGAATTTTCTAAACCAATGCAAAAAGACAAATTACACACCTACCATCACCATTTCGATAGCCCAGAAGCACTGCAGGATAATTAACAGTTCTTCAGTTCTGGCAAAAGAAGTAGAACACACTTTATAGGACAGGGACAGCTAGGTGAAGCAATCTGCTGCTGAAGCCATAAACCTCTCTGAACATGACAGTAACTGAGAATGCTACTTGAGCCTCACAGATGCATCATCATCCACATCATGTACCACAGAAAAAATATAGGCCTCAAAGAATTAATATGGAAAGAAAAACTAAAATAAAGAGGTAAAAAAGCACAGACTGAAAATCCTGTAACCCATTCATAAGATCATGTCATCCAGACTTAAGTTTCACAGTTTTGAGTCTACTCTGTGGTCAGCCAGTTCCCTCGGTTTTAGTCTTTCTGATCACTTAATATTATTGAAGTCTCCTTTTCCAGCCCGTAGCAACTGCCACGTGCCATTTCTAGGCCAGATCAGTACGTTCACTTTCTTTTGCACCATTTCCTCTGAAATTCCTGGTATGCCTCACTACAGAAGACAGTAGATTACTGAGTGAAACAGGGGATACTGGTGAGCCAAAGAAAGGGAAATAAATAAGAATTAAGCAAGCTAACAACCAAAAGATAGTCCAGCATCTGTACCAGTAGCTCAGATACCCATCTTATTTTGGCTAAGTCTAACTCTGAAGGAGTATATCAAAACAGTGGCAAATACAAGAGGAAGAGGAGGAGGAGCTTGCTGCAGGACTGAAGAATAACAAACCCTGCCTGTTTCCACATAGACTGAACATAGTTTTACAAATACTTGAGAGTGACTGTGGGTCACTGATGGACCTGTTTAGATACTCACCCAGCAGTGAAATAATACACAAAACTCATGAAAGTTCAAGGCAGAAAGACTAGTGTTTTGTGGAGTAAAGCATCCAACAAAAAAAGCTCACAATCCGGCTCTTGCTAAGCATGTTACATCTTCTCTTTCCATCAGTTATCATACTAAGTACAGACCACAGAATATCAATATCGGTTTAGCATTTGTTCTGTTTAAGAAGGCTTCATAACTCTGGATTACGGGCCACAACTAGGAAAAAGCAGCTTTCCAGAGATCTTGTACGAAAGACTAGTATAACACACAAGGAAGAACCCAGCTACAGTGGTGCTATTCTCAGGTATTTCAAACAAAACCATAAACATTTACTGCAGCAGCACCATGCACAAGACAGCTAAGTCAGCCTGATCATTTAATTTGAGGGTAACCTACGTAACAGATCAGTTGATTTTACAAGATTTGGTTTGAGAAAGTGGGAGTAATATAGTTGTTTTGTTTCTTCGCTTAAATCAGAGAAGGAATTGAGATATCTATAGGCCAGCTATACCTGCTAGGTTCGTTTTACGGACTCAGTCTTTTGCTTCTCAAAAATTTGTCACAGGGCTATCAGTTGACACTTGTCAAAACTGACATCATGAGGCATCAAAATGTAAAGTAAAAAATGTCAGGCACATTTCTTAACCACAGTTCTTAACTTGTCTCAAGCACAATTTTTAAAGCAATTTTTTTCTGCACACATGACTTCCAAGCAAGACTTGCCTGTCAAACATGCTTCTATTTGAGTACTTATTACTTTCTGTACAGGCAAAAAACTGTACTGGTGGACTCATGCAGATCATATACAAAGATATACATATGCATATAGTCAAGGTGTGAAGAGGCAGGGACCAAACAGATTAATATCTGCTCTAAAAATCTTGACCAAAGAGATACCAGACTAGTGTTGATTCACATGGATTTCCCCCAACACCACTTTCATGAAAAACCATCAGAAAGCATCTTCTCTTACTCAGAAAATGTGTTAGAATATCTGTGAGAAGATCCAACAAGTCTGAAAGCTTATTTCCAATTTTTCAAAGCCAAAACAGAAACTAACTAGAGAACTAAAAAAAAAAAAAAAAACCCCACAAAAAACCCCCAGAAAAACAGAAAACTAACAGAAAAACAGAAACTAACTAGGCAAGTAGTAAACACCTACATATGTGCAAGCATATGTATACAGAGAAAACTCCTGTTCATCAGGAAACAATTACTCTTGTTGGCCTTAACAGCCAAGTGTACCAGAGAGATTCCGTTTTTATTCTGGAAAACCTCTACTCATTCTAGCTCAATGCTGGATGTCTCTATGGAGACAAAAGCTGTATTTTGTCTAGACTAGAACAAACCTGGAGGAACAGCAGTGAACAGCTATGGGACAGAGAACAACAAGTTTAGTTTATGTTTTGCTAAATATATATAGACTGAATTGAATCTGGGTTCATAACTGTTGTTTATATTAAAACCAAACCTCTCTTACTAAAGAAACTTGATTGTAACCATCCCTAAAAGTTACTGTCTAGGAAACACCTATACATCCCAGAAATTAAGACCATAAAAAGCAGCCATTATGCATACCAACTAGTCACTCCTAGCTTGCAAATTGATCCCGGAGCAGCTTGCTTTGAATACTCCTTAAGCTTTACAGAAAAGCTTTTAGCATACTTAAATTCTACCAAGGGCCACCTCCATTTGAGGATAGAAAGAGTCCCCAGTCACATTTGATGGATGATGAATAAAATACCTTATCTCTGCTTGGTACCTAGTGTTACAGCCTGGAACGAACAGCATCCAGACTGCGTCCTCTTATACAAATACAGATCTCCACTTAAGTCAACACTTACCAGCGATAGCGCAAAACAGTGTCTTGATAGCTGCTAGTTAATCATTGTACAATGCAAAAATCAATTTCTGCTATAAACTATTTTTTGAGATTTTCTAAAGAAAATGTGAACAAGCTTATGAAAATATACGGAATGTGAATAAAAACAGTGGAAGCAGAGACAAAAATAGAAACTATTGTCTGAGGCAAGCACTGGATGTCTAGAAAGTAGAAACACTTCGGAAGGAGCAGTAATTTCCCCCCACTTCATTGCTTCCCAAGGAATTCTACTCTTCCTCCATCCTAAAAGTTCCTAAACTGAATCCATCCAATCTAGGGATGGCAACAACGACTGATGATTTCATAAAAATGCCAAGACTTCAACTGCAACCTTGTAGCACATGGGAGGACAGGGCAGCAAACTGTGTATGCAAAATAGAACTACTGCTTTCTCTTCAGAATCACAGTGAAATTGTAAGAATAACAACTAACTACAAAGAAAACTACTCTTCCCCAGGATCCACTATCCAGTCTTCTGAACTACGAAGTAAAAGTTTTAACCTAGCAACAGGAAGATTCAGAGACAGAAAGGGTATCAGAAATCCAGCTTTCCACAGAGTCTGGAGAAAAAAAAAACCCACCAAAATATTACCTTCTGGCATTCTTTGGAAAAAGGTGAAGTCAGCTTTTCTCACAGGAGATACAAATATATGATTTACTAGGATGCAGACACCAAAGAGCAGAGAATAATGCATTTAAAATCTTTAGGCAATTGAAGCATAAGGTCTTTGCCTGTTCAAAAAAAAAACCCAACCACCTGACACCCAAAAACCTACAAATTTGTCTTTAGTTCTCATTGTACAGTAATAAGTATTCTGTGCTACTATATATTCTACCAACTGCACCTTGAGAAGCACTTATTGCAGTTCTTAATCCTTTTGTGAAGTTGCCAGAGATCAAAAGGCTGATCTGAGAAAGAAAACCAACACATCCCAATACAAACCTACAGCTTTCTTTAAAATTCTTAAAACATTTTGCTGTGTAGAAGTACTGTGCAGTTTCACTGCATTAGTCACAAGTTCTGTCTCAGTCAGAAACTGGTGACAGGTTATGCCCAGATATGAGACTTGGAATTGAATAGTGGGTGTCAAAATATTAAAAAAAAAACAAACAAACAGAACAAACAGCAAAGTTTTGCTCAAGATTGAAACACTTAGGGAAATTAATAAATAAGCTATAAATTATCATGTCAGTTTACAGTGCACGAAGTTACTGTTCACACAGGTTCTGCATAGACAGTCGTGGTTTACACTGACAGTAAAGGGATCTACTTCACATTAGGGGAGACCAAATGAGGCGTCTGTACTTTGTGGGTAATAAATGAACACCTGTGGCCTCTCCCATGTAGACAGCTAACAGCTACTCTTGAACAACCAGATTAATGCTATAGTTCTCACCTGATCTTCTTCTTCATCCTCTTCATCTTCTGCCAAACGCTGCCTGCCCACTTCATACAGTCTGCAAACTGTATCCATGTTCATGGCATCCATGCTCCCTTGATTCTGATGAGGATATGCACACACAGCAGTTAGCCCCAGGAATTAAGCTCAGCATTCATGTTCAATGCTATATCTGATCTCTATTACAGAAACATTACCAAAATCCTTCCCTCCCATTTGCTAGCAGCAGTACAATTACAACTAAAAATGAGTCTTTTCTGTTTCAATGACCAGCCCAGGAGTGATGTAAACACCTGCTTTCTGCTCCTGTTATACACAAGTCACACTCTTACGAGGAGACTTAAAAAAACCTTTACTGGATCTTTAACATGCTTTGTGTTAGTTCTCACCTAAGCACACACAACTTTCTTTCAAATTTGCCTCCCTATTATATCATTGAACCATATGCCTTGACAGAATGCTAAGAGCTGTCATATAGCAAGAGTGCCAGAAGACAACAGTCTGACACCCCAGCAACCACTGCTGCCACGTGCCCTGAGGTAACATTTCAAATTGCTCCTATAAAAAAAAAAATTCCTATCTTGGCCTCACAACCTTGACAACTCCAACTTCACTAGTTAAACATGAAGCTTGCCCTACTACAAATTCTTGACTCCTTTTTTTTTTTGGTCTGTAAGGATCAGTGGTTCAGGGTATTAGGTCAACAGGACTTTAAATTAGTCAATACACATACATAGTTAGGTTCAAGAAATCGGATACTGACAACATATTATTGGGAAGGGAACTGGAGTCATTAGTTTGATTTGACTTCCCCCCTAACAAATCAGAAATTCCACTCAGTAATTTTTGCTTCAAATCCTTAGCTTCTGGGATGTTTCTAAGAAGACAAGTGAAAAAGGAAGGAACAATGATTCACAGAAAAGCTCCACGGGAAGCCCCAGGAAGATTGCATTTCCCAGTTATTTGATACAGTGTAAATTTTAATAGGAAATTCTTGCTATAAATAGGAAAAAAAATGCATTTCTCTCTATGTTTATGAGAAGGAAAACCAAAGTGGGAATTATTTGAAGAAGAAAGGCAAATGTGTTTGGAAGGAATCAAAGGCAGGAAAATTAAACTGCTGTGGGTGGACAACAACAAAAAAATCATCATCTTTACCATCAAAACACCATCACTGCTTAGCACATGAATTTAGCAGTAGGAACTCCAGAATCATCAGTTCTGAAGGTTTTAAAGAGAATCAAAAACCACTACACTTAGACCACAGCTAGAGACTAGAGTTCATTGTTAGTTCCTTTACCTCAATTACAGCCAGATAGCAGTCCTTGCTGTCTGTGCACAAGTCAAAGATATTCCGCTTTACATCTATGGTAGCTGGAAAACATCACAAAACAAACTCAGTGGTTAACTGCATATTACTTAATGCTTGCTGAAAGAAGAGACCTAACAGTTTGTGTCTAAAAGCAAATGATAAAAGTGTTGGGACAAGAAAGAACAGCTGAAATAAAAGTAAAATGAACATTTGTAACTAATTCAACCTGTACTAAAGAATAGAAATGTTGGACACTGTCATAAAAAAACAGCCAGTTAAGTTCTTAACTTGCTCTGCACAGTGCCTCCTCTCTTCATAATACATTTTTTGGCTTCTCTAAGCATAGTAACAGATAACCTTCCAGGATAGGTGGCAACCAAGGAACTGAGTTGAGAGCCATGTCTCCTTTCAATAGCAAAAGCCACATTTTTTATGTCTGTAGCAGCAACTAGCTTAACTTCAGGAGCTTTGCAAGCCGGAGGCCAAACTGACAGTATTTTGAACTACTAGCATGGGGAAATGCTGTTGGGAAAAGGAAAGGAAAGAAAGAAAAAAAAGGTCCTTCCTGAAATGAGACCAGTCATATCTTGGCCAAATGACTTACTATCTCAGATTATGCCCTACTTGGAAAGAGGAAAGGAAAATAAAGCCAGAACTGCTGAACAGTAGCAAGTAAGGCAATCACACACTGAACAGGTTATGATACCTGAACCTATTTCACTGCTAAAATGCAACTCGTGTGCTTCTATCAGAACAGGTCATAGCAGAATTTGTTCTGTCACACATGCAAAGGAGAGGAGGAAGTGAATGTTACTAAGCAGAACTTTCAATAAACCTTCAAGCCACCACACCAAGCTATTTGCTCCTCTCTTACTCTTACCTATAGGTTTATAATCAGTTGCATTAAATGTCCTGAAAGAAGAGCCAAAAGGACTTCTCATTCTCTCCTCCAGAAGGTCATCTTCATCATCTGCCTGCAACATAGCTGATACAAGGAAAGATTATTCCACAAATCCACCTTCATTACTATTGTTAATAAACTTAAGATCAAACCAGACTCTGACATGAATATTCTTTTTATTTAGTAGCTTGGCAAGATGCATTTAATATCTACTCTTCCAGGGCTGCCTTTATTTATACTGCAGATCATTGAAACTTAATACAGAGGACAAAATTATTTTCTCAAGCATTGTCAGATCTGCCGTTATACATATTTTCTTTTTCAATAGGTTGATTTTTAATCTCACAAATGAGTTGTGATATTGCTGATGTTAGAGAAAACTGTCTTTGTCAGCAATACATGTAGCATGAACATCCTGAAAAAATTCCAGTTCACACATGCCAGTAAGGCCTGGAGTTAGACAGACTCTCTGAAAGCTTCCAATTTCAATGAACAAGCATCTACTTATCTCAAACCAGAGCTGACCAAGAAGAGTCATATGAGACTGAGAAGTCCTACCTCCATACATAACTGTGCCAGTATAGTTGAAGACCACACGACACTGATCCAGTGCAGGTACTGTGTGTAACAAATGGAAAGTTCGGAGGTCCCACTGAAAAAATACAGGCTAAGGAGCAACAAACAATTCAAAGTTTTTATTTCCTTTTCAACACAGTGGCAAACAACTGATTAATTGCGTTCAAGAAACCTCACTGTCACTCTCTCACAAATATGACAGAACAAGAGTCAGATTCCAGCACCACAATTCCTTCCATGTGTTCCAAATGAAGAGGCTCTTACCCAAAATGTCATTGACAATCACGAGACATTACTGCAGTAGCTTCAAAGTTGATCTTGGTAAGGGATAGGAAGAGAGCAGAGGTACCACAGAGTATATTAGAAAAGAAAATCTCTTTTTCTCTCTCCATGTGTTAAGTATTTCCTCTAGGCTGTATCAGAGGTAGAATCTAGATTTACATTAGCTAGCTGCCTGACAGTCCCTACTTGATTCACAGATGAAAACTGTTGTTACCGTACATAACCTGTAATGCCAGTAGACCATTAATACAACTTCTGCAAACAGCTACTTGTTTTTCAACACAAGTTCTTTAGGTCCCAGCACATCAGTTACCACAGTGACCAAAGGATACAATTTCGGTGTTGACTATGACCTCTAGCCCATTGGGATGGAAAACACCACTGATGGTCATGTTGAATTTGTCAAACTTGTGGATGGCTTGTGCCGATCTGACATCCCAGAGGACACCATCATTTAGGACAAGGTCATCAGTGGGGTTAAAGGTGGCACAGTTCTTCTTGTAGTTGTTGGCAAGATCTGGGTTAAACAGAGTCAATAGCTTGTTGCCAGTCTGAATATCATAGATCTTTTAGATTAAAAGAAAAAGAAAGATTAGTCACAATTTGTAAGGTACCTGTACCTGACATCACCCCATGTTCCCCCTTCTAGACTGTTTCCAGAATCAACCCATTTCCCTTTTTGCTTTTTCATTTCAAGTTCTCACTTCCAAAGATAACCCTTCCTGCCAGTCCTTTAACAGTTTTTCACAGCTGGAACCAAGGCTCAAAACACATTTTGGCCAGTACTTAGCTTCCTGCAGGTTCACTGATACATTTCAATATGATCAGGATTAGTTTCAAAGAAGCTAACCCCATTAAGAAAAGTGGGCTGTGAAGCTGCAGTCACAAGGTACCACTTAGCCAGAAACTAACTGCTTTCAGAGCAGATGGTATTTGCAAACATAAAAAATCCAAAGCATACAGTGAGGGGAAAAGCCAGAAACTATAGAAAAGGAGTTAAAATTCCTGGCATTGACACAGAAGGGCAACTTTCTGAGCTTTGCCCCAACAAACTGCTGGAAGGTAAAAAGGGCTTTAACAAGTACAAAGGTTTTATGACCAACTTCTCAGATAAATTTGATCTGTAACATCCCTCAGAGCCTAGCTCTCGTTCAAACTTACAGAGAGGAAAAAATTCTCTAGTATTGGAAAAGAAATCTGTTTACCAGATAAACACAATACACAAACTGATCTGAATTCCAGATAAACCCAAGTTAAAAACTGAGCAGGAACAGATAGTTTGCTTAAACAAATCAGAAGCAATTAGTAAAATCATAAATAAATTCAATAAGTTATGTTTCATGATGATTTTTTATGCAAATACTCTTTCAAAAGAGACCGTGCCTATAATGAATGCAAATTAGCACTGGGGAGAAGCAGAAACCCTCTGAAGCCTGCGCCTGTCAAATTTTCATTCATACAGAACACTACAAGAGCATTCTCTGAAAATACATTGGTGAAATTAAATTACCCAAAAGCAAACTGCAAATTTGGGGTGGCAAGAGAAGGACACTTAACAAGGACACTTTTAATAGGCCATTTCCCACAGCTGTTGACTGAGCTACTGTTTACAGTGGAACTTTTGTTATTATTATTACTGAAAAATAAGGCAAAGGAGGAAACTTCAGGGGAGGGAGGGGAAGTTCTGGATGATCTCTCTCAAATGAGCAAAACAAAGCAGATTCTACAATTGCCCAGAATACTAACCACAGAGGCAACACATTGCACACTGCTTGCGCTACAGTTGATTTGGAATGGTCAAGTTTATACCCTCAGACACAGGGAGAAGTTATTTGACACTTTCAAAGCTTTCCCCCAAAGTCCCTTAGTTTATCAGTTACACAGAGCATCATTGCACCCAGATCTGTTAATAAATGTCCTGCGAAGAATTATATTCTTGTCACAGCTTCACAACCATGACCTTTACTGGTACTCACATGGGCAATATCTCCTTTTGTGCCAATGACCCTATCCTGAGAGTGCTTGCTGAACTCCACATAGTGGTCATCAGGGAAGGAATGCCTGTAGATAGAGTCAGTGAGAAATCAAGGAACTGCAGATTCAAACCACCTGTGTGAACCAAACACTACCCCAACGCCTCCAGCAGAGGTTTCAACAATGCAGAAAACTGAAAATGTAGAAAAGACTTTCCTTCACCATTGACCATGGCACACTACAATGCGAAAATGCTCCACTGGCATTTGCAGGGAAATATCTATTACAGACACAGCCTTTACAGCAGACCAGTGGAAAAAAAAAAACAAAACAAAACACAAGTAACAAATTCGCAACTCGTCATTAAATTACTACTGCAACAGAGTCTGCCATAAACATAACACTTTTTAGAGGAGTGAGCAATGAATGGCATCATGAACGTTCAAATGCACGTGCAGGCCTGAAGCACGTTAAACGTTTTATCTGAAAAATCCCCTCTACCTGACATAAAACAGGTCACACCAAAATTGTTGCTTACAGCTAAGGTAGACAACAGTCAAACCTTTTAAAAATGAAGAGCTTTCCACCCATTTTCTATGGGAAGGAACAACTGTAAATACTGAAATACATTTAAAATAGCTTTGTCCAGGTCTGAAATAGCTTGTTTGTAGGTCTGAAAATTTCACCATGCAAATCACCATGCTAGTAAAATTCTGTAAGTGGCTACAGAAAGATTGTCAAGATGGTTTACAAATATGAGAATAAAAATACAAACATACTTGTTTGCCTTCAGGGACAACAGCGATTTTACTGATCTATCTTGCATTAAATAGGGCTTTACGTAGTTAGAACTTAGCAAAGCTGTCTGTACCCAATAAAATAGGGAAGATACTAACCATAAGAAAGGAAGCACATTTTATTTTTTTCCACAAGAGACAATATGAGAGCTGTACTGTACTGTTCTCTCACAGAGTTTGTTGTTAGAGTTTCTGCCTATATTGAATGGTTCTTCTAACAGCAACGTATCCCATAGCTGGATGAGAGTATACCTACTTCATATCAAAGACAGACTTCATTCCCCACAATGCAGACAGAGGTTGGCTCCACGTAGCAGATGTCAGCAATAAAGATCCATCCTGAATTTCCAGATGGGAGCGGAGGGGAAGGAAGGGAAAAGAATACCAGCGAAAACAGAGGTTATCATGTTACCTGTACACTTTAACTTACACTTACAAGATGAATTTAGGAACTATAGCAGATCTTGTGCTTACTATACTACTCCTGTGAGGATAAAGTCTAGGGATCTAATACTATGTATAATATAAAGAGCCCTTGGCAGACAAAGAAAAACATTACAGATAACAACGGGAACTATCTATGATGTTAATAGCAGATAAATCAGGATAATCCATGCCTGAACTTTGATGCCCTGTGAGTGGAGTTCATTCTGCTTATAAATCAGTTACCTTTTACTTCTCCCCAGAATCATCCCCCAAAAGATTTCTTTCTCCAAAGGGAGGATATATAAACTCTGATATCTTATCTCACATTTATCTTAAATAGTCAGTTTAAGCATTTTTCCACTTCCAGACATACATATTTATTAGTTATGAAGGCACACAGCCACTGTGCATCTTCTCTATTATCTTGGGAAGAAAAAAATACTTGTAGAACTCACAGACAGGGAGTATGTAAGTATTACAAGTATCTTAATGACAGGCATTGCAGGCCAGTCAGTAGGTGCATTTTAGATTTACACACCCAGACAGGCCCAAAACATACCAGGGCTTAGGCTGTGAGAACTTCTAAAAACGTACAACAGGTCTTTGATTACTTACTCTGGATGGCTCAAGGTGCGTGATGGCAGAGTTATGGCAGTTGTAACTGGCCTCTTCCTGTCCACTGAATACATTATAGAGTTTCAACTGCCCTGTGCAAGTACCCAGCATTAAGAATCGTTCTCTTGCAGAAAATGCACAACAGGTAAAGCCACTCTCATCCTCATTTGCTTCCCTGAACACAGAAATCGGACGGAACCTAGAGAAGGCAGAAATACAAGGGTCCCCCAAAAGAGAGAAGAAAAGCAAAACTGAAGTGCCGTGTGGTATTAAATCCAGTCCTTAAAAATCATATCAGTAACAGTTATAGCTTTATTCTAGAACAAGCTAAGTGTCAATTATAAGACTAGTCCTCAAGTGAGTAAGTTACAACATTTCAGAGTTTGTTTTACACTATTAAGTACTTCTCTTAAAGCACATAATTAAGTTGAAGCACTTTGAGTCCATCTTCAAAGTTGAATTGATGGAAAACCTGCAATGCCATCATCTGGATAAGTACATACACACAACAAAACTTTCTAACATTTCTGAAACACTCAACAAGGCACTGCACATCAGCAAAATAACCTCCTGTCATCATAATCTCCCATGGTGATACTTGTTTCAGTGTGAAAATGCTTTCATCTATACATCATCTTTTTTTCTTTTTTTTTTTTTAAATAAACTTTACATCATCTTCCAATTTAATCTCAGCAAAGAAAGGCCACATAAAAAGGCCCGCAACTTGCAGTGCTGCAGATTCATCTGCAAGAGCAAAAATACGGTTTCCACCGTCCTGCATCTGTCAGCCAACCAACCTCAAGGCTACGCTACACTCTCACGTAAACCTGGCATTACATACTTACCTTCCAAACGAGAACAAAGAGCTATGAGCTTCATCAGTCAATGCTGTTAATGAATTAACATGACACTGAAAATAAAGTGTGTTTTAGGTACTAAGGGTCAGTACTAAGGACAGGAGAAACAGAACAGCTTCTAAAATGCCTTTCAAAGCTCTCCCACTTGTCACTGCTGAATTAGAAGACTTGTCTGTCCAAGGATACTCCGCTGTGGAACTGTACAGTCTAAATCCAGGTAAGGCTTTTTGGCACAGGGTACATCCTGAGAGGTAATCAAGAAACACTCTTCTTCCTTACCTGCTAAATATAAGGTGTCTATCAAAGCAGCCACCATCCACCCCTCCGTACTTCGGAAAGGCTGCCCTGCGGGTCAGCCGTGAGGTAAAGTTAGTTGGCGCTTGGCGCCTCTGTTTTGGCTCAGGACATTGATGGGGAGTAAAGAGAGAGAAAGGGGGACAAGTGGCAACAGGGTTCTTGCAGCGGGCATGCTGCTCCCTAAGGTACTCTGTGATTATACTGTCCAGCGTGGGTGGGGAAGGAAGGTGTCTGTCCAGCTGCTTTTTGATAGCTGGGCTCTGGCTGTAGGCGCCATGGTCCGATTTTTGTCGCAACACCCTGATTTTTCTGCCGTTGCAGGGAGACGGCCTCTCCCTGACAAAGCTAATCCTGCCAATCAGAGGAGAGTTGCTGGCATATGAGGGGCCGGGAAGGGCAAGCGGACCTTGGGATGCCGATGGCCTTGCCTGAGCATGGACAGAGGTGGCAGTGGAAGCTACAGAAGTGTGGCTACTCAAACGGGCTGAAATGCCATTAGCTATGCGAGGAGTGCGAGGCAAGGCCACAGGAGAGGCAGCAGCCGCAACAGGGGGGAAGGCAGATGAATGAGATGCTGCAGTCATGGGTAGGTCAGCCTCTTTAGTCAGGACTGATGCAGTTTCTCCCAGGCCCTTAGAGATGAGATGGTTCCGAATCAGGAGCAGCAACTCCTTCTCAGGGAACGTGATCCTTGACTGGGCCACCACATCCGCTTTCTGCAACCGAGCCAGAGAGACATCTGTGCCGATCAGCAACGGCTTCCCCGAGACACGCTCTATCAGCTCAGCAGCATATTTGCAGAACTTCACATGCTCGCTGCGCTTGTCCTGAAGAACTGGCTCTTTCATCAGCTGCTGAATTTGACAGCTGCTGAAGAGAGGGAGCTTGCTGATAATCTGCCGGACAGTACTGCTGCGCGAGAGCCCCACCAAGGCTTTGCAGGCTAATGCTCGGATCTGATCTGCGTCTGTGATTGGCATCTTTATAGACAGCAATGACAGCAGCACTTTGATGCCATTGTTGGACTGTACCACATTCCACATCTTAGCTAACGTGTGCTCACTGCTCTTGGGGGCTTGAGGAAGCTTTCGCCGAGGAGTTCCAGAGATGAATTTGCCAATACTGGAGATCCGATTATCTGGGCCACATACACAATTGATGATAATCTGAAGGGCTGATTTCTGAATCTCAGCATCATGGATGAAAAACTCACCCTCGGCAACTCCAAGGATGATACTAATACCTAATGAGGGAAAGAAATAGTTTCTTTAGTACAATAAAAATGTATCTTACACAGTTCATCAGACAAGTAAGGAAGTCTTGGAAATCTGAGGAAAATCTGAGGAAAATAGGTAGTTCTTTTCATTCTGTGAATTTCTGAGTTCTGCTAACTAGCGTAAGACGTATTCTTCTACCTCCCTGGCAAAAATGTTTTCCTGCACTGATGCTCCTCCACTTCATCATCAGTAAATAGGGAGTCAAACAATCTTTTAGAGAAGGTAATCAGGCACGGCCCAGGAATGCAAAATCTGAGATACACGGCACGGGGAAAGATGCACAGGCATGCCTCTGATTCTTACTGCAGAAAGCAACTCTCTTGTATAAATACTAACAAAGTGGAAACAGAGAGGATGGAAGGAGACCATGTTATGAAGGGAAAAAAATAAATCACATTACAGCTTCCAAAAGGAGTCAGGCAAAAATGAAACTTTGGGTTTGTTGTTTTTCCCCCACAGAGTTCCTGTTCTTTTCACGTCTGCTTCAGAAGATCAAAATCCTCACTCAAGAAAGAATTGGTGTTTTGTCCAGAGATCTTTTGCCTGTATCTAGTACTCTTTTTTTTTTTTAAAAGAAAAATAAAAGGCAAAGTCATGCCCCATTTAATGCATAAGCCTTAGAGGTGATCCAGACATATCTCATCCATTTGCATACTGAATCTGCGCATAACTCAAATAAATAGCAATAATTGTTCCTCTCCCATATTCTCAAATTCCATATCCCCAGGAGACCTAAATTTCTGAGAAGTTGAGGGAACCTAATAGTCCCATTACAAAGGTAGATTTGCCTCCATCTGTATTTAATGAGATCTTGAAAACAAGTACAAGCCAAAGTCCATGCCTTCAAATTTGTAATCCAACCACAGTGCTAATCATGACACAATTTTAACCACTCTCCTATGTATTTGTATCCCTGAGAATAACTCTGAATATATGAATTATTTTAACCCTTGTTTCACTGTAGGTGAGAAACAGCCAATTGAAAAAAAAAAATTAGTAAAAGAATTGATAAGCATGTAAGTCATCAGGACCATATTCAGCTTACCCACAGTGGAAACAGTAGATCCAGCTTCATCTAACACATCCACAGGTTCTGCCAACTGCAACTGGATTTTAGGAACGACAGTCAGGATGGCTAGTACATCCAAAGCATATCGTACTGTGTCATTCCTGGAAGACAACAACAGAAGAACTTCTTAGAGGTGTACATACAGAGTTGCTTCAATAATGTAAAATAGCATTCAATCTATTCCAACATATCTAATCCAACAAATAGGAGTAGATCAGTCACATGTGATGTATCTGATGGTGCCTTTAGATTTTACAATGTTCCACTCTTAAAGGGCTGGTCTCCACAGAAGGCAGTGTTCACATGCACACCATTGCCTGCAGTCTGTCAACATTTATCCCACCCTGCCCACAGCTTCCTAAAAGCACTGTAATTTTTTATTTATAAAAATACAAATGTTAAGACTTATACACAAAAGCATTCTAAATTAAGCTTCTCAATCTAATCTAACTCTACATCTTAGTTGGGAAATACTGCTGTCTAAAATAATGTCACCCGTCAACTAGAAAGGAAGTTTTTCTGTAGTGAAAGGAAGCTGTTCAGCAGTAAAGCAGACAATTGTGATCAGGGAAAAGGCATCAACTCAGGCACCAGTTTAAGAGACACAGGTGCGTGGAAGATGAAAAGGGCTGTTAAGCAAGAGATGGAAGAGCAGAACAATGCAAGAAAGGGGGGGAGGTTTGTAAGCATGTATGGAAAGGTAGGAGTTAACCCAGGTAGCAATTAGGAAACAGCTGTAGAGAAAAAGAAACAGGAGAACAGAAGCTACCCAGGAGAGTGCGACCTGAGAGAGAGGGGAGGGAGAGGCAGGGGATTGCAGAAGCAAAACAGATTTCAAAGTTCTTTCAAGTTAAGTTAGGGAAGGAGCTCCTGCAGGCAGCAGAAAAAAGGAGGGGGGAGTCTTGGTGACAAGAATACAGCTGATGACAACTAGTTATAGCAGAGAGTGACTCACCAGTGAGCATATCTCTAGAGAGGACTACAGCTTCACTCTGGGGAGCAGATGGTTATTAGGATAAACAGAGGCTGGAACTTTGCACCCATCCTCCTTTTGAACTGTGGACAGAATCCTACCAGTATCCTATCAAAGCCTGGTGGCAATTCCCTTTCTTTTGCAACAGTGAGGATGCTGCAAGGTTTTTGGGGTGGGGAGGCAGAGGGAAGAGGTACCACAGAAAGATAACAGAATATCATGGTGCACCCACAGCTCGTCTGTGGCCAAGACAAGGGAGAAACTTAAAAGTGGCATTGCAAGGCGAGCGCCTCGCTACAAACACATAGAGTTCAACAGCTGGTGGTGTATCATCTAGGGTCATGAACCTGAGCAATGCACAGTAACAACCTTCAGTCTTTTTCCTCTCTCCAATGCTGGCTTGTTGCATACCCACACAACTTCTTGGCACAGTTTTATCTGCTCAGTAAACTTCAAATACCAACAAATCAACAAAGTGATACACAGTGTCCTCTCTTGAGTCAGCTAAACTTACTACAACCAAACAGATATTCCACCTCTTTCCAGGATTAAGGTATGTCTTGATTTCACTCTCTACTTTGAAGGTTTTCTAGCCTTTCTCTAACAAAAAGGTAGAGACAGATAGGAAGTGGCACAGAATTGTGATTAAGCTCTACTATGATGCTGATTTCTCTGAATCAAAGGCCTGAGGCATTTTGGCTCTTAAGAAATCTCATGACATTCCTCTCTCTCCACCTCAAGATTTTAGTCCTGCTTTCCACAGTGTTAACTTTCATAAGCCACAGCCAAGGCCCTAACAGCACTAACCAGTATGTGCCTGTTTTAAATGCTATCAGAGAGGTAGAAAATCTAGAAATGTAATGTCCTGCCCAAGACTCACAATTTACTGCACTAAAATACTGGAGCAAACAGCTCACCTTGCATAGTATGTCTTCCAGTTGCATGCTATTGAAATGAGCTGAAGCATGAGCTGGACACAAGACAATTTGAGAAAAACCTCTGCTGGCTCCCAGTAGAGCTGTGCTGGGCCATACTCAATCAGGAACTCCATCATCTCTACGATCTGCTCATGAGTATACGAACAGGCCTGCAGGAAAGCGAGTTGGAAGCATTAGAAAGAGATCACAAGGGTTACAAACTTGCACATCAAGTGTCCCGCTGCTGAGATTTAACTAAAAACTGCATCCACAAAGAGTAGACTACCACTTTTCCTTGCAGATTAAGTATTTACTTTCTGGTTTATTCCCCAACTATGAAAGAATACAGCAATTGCCACTATAATATACAATAGTAAGCTTAAGAATAATATCCTTTAAGTTTCTTTGCAGTTCTAGAAGTCTTAGGCCAATTTAGGAAGAAAAGTTACATTAAATTAAAATTCTGCTCTGCTTTTAAGCTACTAATCTAGCAGTTACTAGATCATCATTCAAAATAAATTTATGCTAAAGTATTTAAAAAGGCTGCAAAAAACACTAAATCAGTTTCTAAGTTCTGACTACAAAATTAAAGAAAAAAGGAAACTCCTAACAAGCTTGCCTTTCAATATTTTTTTTAAATTACACAAGAAGGCAACAGCTTATACACGTTTCTTTAGTTACTGAAAATAAGTGATTTTTGCAGACGCAAAAAACCCTCTGTTTCTTACTTCAGCTCTTTTAGAAAACCATCATAAATTAAACCAGAAACCACAGGTGAACGTGCTCCCTCAAAATAAGCAACCATAAAATTCAGGTTTGTTTTTTTTTTTTTTTAAAAATCACTTTGCAGGGAGAAAGTAGGAAAAAAAAAATGGCAAAAACAAGAATTTCCCAGGTCGTTCCTAAAAACTACAGTGTCAAGAGACACATTTCAGTTGTCATTATCAAATCAAACTTATTTCCATTATGCACTTTATACTTACAGATTTTGTCCTTTTGGAGATTAAAAACATAGAAAAACCTGTAAGTATCAAAAATAGCCTGCCTTTACTTAAATTTTTGAGAGATGGAAGTGGAACCACAGCAGATGATGAGCAGGAACCTTAATCAAGTGTAGTTCAGATGAACCTCAAAGGCTCTTCTGTATTTTTCTATTGTATTTTCTATTTTATATTGAAAAATATTTTTCTATTTTCTATCTAACTATCTATATTCTAATAATGTGTATCATTCCACAAGGCAGGAAAAAAGCACAAATAAAAAAATCCCTACCCCTACAAATTGCACACTGCCTAGTTATTCCACTGGCTTCAAGGGATATCCACATATTCCTGCAGTTTGGATTGTCTTGAAAAATGCAACAACCATGTTAAAAGCTTGCAACATGCTGCTCACCTTGTAGGGGGGCTGTGGATGGACCAGAATGCCACCTTCAGTGCGCTGAAGTGACTGCTTCACCTGTTCAAGTTTGATAGCAAGATGAGCCTCAAAGTACCTACGCAAGGCCATGCAGGTATGTTTCCCAGTCTGGCGACTAGCAAAGATCTCATCATCACTCAAAAGGGCGCCTTGGTCTTCCAGGTTCAAGATCTCAAGAGTGCTTATCTTCAGAAAGAGGTTGGGTAGAAAAAAGAAAAGTTTCATCAGCTCGCTCTTCAGGAAAAAAAGCACCTACAATTCTCAGCTGCACTTGTACTAAATCCATACAAAATTACTTTGCTATACAAGACATACAAGCACACCCTCTTGAGAGCTGACGAAAGCTGTCTGAACAGAAAAGGCTATCTTCGTAGATAAATAGTTAAGTTTAAAAAGAAACATTCCCCCTCCTTCACTATCTACGAAGAAAGAAATCCAGAAGTTACATCAACGTAGATCTGGAGGCAACGTTGTGCCTAATTCTATTACTCATTATATTACACAACGCAAAGTGTGCTTATGCCCTGAGCACTGCTGTCCCCAAGTTAGTACCAACCCAAGCTATTAGGACTGCACAGCAATGCCATACTGATGTACCAGGTTTTGTACATGAACAGTGTAATTTGTGCTCATAAGGTGCCATGGTAACCACAGTACAAAATCAGCCAGACCTCTCCTGGAACAAAGCTGGATGTATCTGTATCCAAAAGGCTGCATGGCAATACCATGCGCGTGTGGAATGGTGAGAAATATTTTAACTACTACTAAGCCACCACTGTTTGAGTAAGTGCTGCTCAACCCAAGAGTTGCACCAAAAGCTCTCAAAAGGTAGCAAGTCCAAGGACAATGATAATAAAGGTGAAGTGATCCACATGTTTGTTGCTTAGAAAGCTCATCACACCTCTCCATCTCTTGGGAACTTAGGAGGGAAAAAAAAACAACGACCAAAAAAACTCTCAAAAAAACAAACACACCCCTCCACCCAAAAAAAAGACCCAGGCTTCTACACAGTTGCACTGCAAAGGGTGCAAAACCTGACACTAAAACCCTATTCACCACATAAAACCACAAGCCGTACCAGGTTAACCAGACGTCGAAGGCCATCATGCCTGTCAAAGAGCTCCAGGACAGCACGGAAGGAGAAGCAAATGGAGAAGAACATGGTAGCATGGCAGCAGCCTGAGGCATGGGAGCACTCCATTAACCATAAGGTGTAGTTTACTACATCTGAAAGCACGTTATGGGGGTGCATGCACACCTAGAAAGCAAAACAACATTCTTGAGAAGGACTTCAAACAGATCACAGAAGAGAATTTATCCAAAGAGAATGAGGGTTCTTTGAGGGGCAAACAGACAAGAGGACAAGTATCAGTTACTCCCAACTTGACTTGGGCCATCTGAAACATGAAATAAGAAGTCCCACTTCCAGACCAGTAAAAGAAAGCCCCAGTGAGACTAATAAAGGCCATGGTGTGGCAATGTAGGACTAGCAATTGGTGCATTCCCAGATCTAAACACAATAAATACAGCAGTCTTAATGTAGTATAATTCCAGAGAGTCCTTCTCCATGCCACTTCAAGCTATACAAAGAATGCTTCGCTAGAAGAAAAGAATAGAGAGAGGTTTCCACTGAAGAAAAAAATTCTTCTCCGTGTAACAATACCATATGTTATGCTGAAGTTCTAGCAAACTCTGATAGCACTGAAGTCTAGGGCAATTGCAAGGATCATCAAATGCAAATCTAAATTTTGACTCTCTCTGGAAACAGACAACTGAGCTGGTCTTTTTCTCAGACCTTGCCTCCGAGACGTGCAGACCATGTGCTCAGAATTGCACTTTTGCATACGTTTGTTATCTTCTAATGATGAGGAACTCTGAACCCTCTGCCAGGGTCAGCGCCAAGAGGAACAGCAAAGAGAGCTGAAGCACTGGCACCAGCTGCTATATGCCAGGTTAGCAGATTTTTTTCGTCTCTTCTGTGCTGGTGTTGGACATACTCAGAGAATACAGAGCTATCAGCTCCACCCTTGCTTCCACCCCAAGACCCAAGGCTTGGCATGGACTAAGTGACAAGGGACTGCCCCTTGAAACCGGCTTCCTCTGAAATCCAAAGACAAGAGAGGAATGTACCACAGAAACCTGCTCTACTTGGTATCTGTAGATATTAGGGATAACATCTGGTAGATGAGACAGTGTCACTACAAAACAGCTGCACGGTTTTATGACACGGCCTGAGGATGTAAAGCAGAGGGAATCCTCATGCAGCACCCTGCCATGGCTCTTGTTTTCTTTTTAAACATCCACGCAAGCAGCAAGTTCGGGGCGGGGGGAAGAAGCTTATAGAGTTTTCTCATGACAAAGTTCAGAGAAACACCAAAGCAGGTCATATGCAGCCAGGGTCCATCTTTCTGACACAATGGGCAAAAAGAAGTGGAGGAAACATTACACCCGTTTCACCTTTCTTATCCTCGTAAAGAGATGTAATACAGGGCATAGACAGCCCTGATCAACCACGACTACCAAAAGGTTTTTGAACTTGCTTATACAAACGCCTGCAGAACACAAATGCCAGCAGAATCCATACAGATAAAGCCTTCAACAACCACTACTAGTGCAGCTTCTACATGCTCAGGAGTGTTAAGCATGTTAAATCACACCACACATTCAGACAGCATCAAAAACTAGGAAAGAATAAGCAGAAATGTACAGTTACTAATTTAACTGCTTCTATTTTCAGATTAAAAAAAAAAAAAATTACTAGAAAATGCCAGGGACAGGCCAGGAATCAAAAGCCATCACTCAAAGCAGAGCTGAGTTGGAAGGCTTAAGGCTACAACTCTGCAGTTGCTTTGATTGATTCTTAGAGCAGGATGCCCCCATATGCAAGTACTAATGCTCACAAGCTGAAAGTTCATCTTTTTTTTTTTCCCTTAGCATGGCAATAACTTTAGAATAAATTGGATTAGTTCCTAGATCTGTCTCAGCACACACGTGCTGCTGCAGCACAAAAAATAAAAAAGGAAGTAGAATCACTGCTGAAAGTACCCGGGAAACTGAAGCTTAAGCAAAGACTGCCATATCAACCTGTCTGAAGGGATGCTTGCTGGAAGAACACCACTGAAGTAAGAGAAGGGTTTCTTTCAGGATTTTTTTTCTATATTAAAATATGAGGTGAGGAACTTTACCTTCATTATCAGCTGTTTTAACGTTTATAAGCTCAGGCCATTGAGAACCCTTAGTATCATTTCATTTGACTTTCTGCACAGTGCAGACCAGACCTGCAGCAGTCTTCTGCTGCACTCTAACACCACTACAGAAGTTGCGCTGCTGTCTGGAATCTGACTGAGGTACTGCATAACTCTGAAGCTATCCACACTTGGAATGCGCATGAAAAAAGCCAATCTCAGGAACAGGAGTCCATTGAACAGACGGGAAAGACAAATGAGAATGGAGTAGTTTTTCCTTTTTCTGAAGGAAAGAGGGAATAATAGGATGAAAAGGGTGATGAAAGTATTGAGACAATGCCAACAAGACAGAGATCTTCAGTTAATTCCCTAGGAACTGAAATCGCCCTTGAAACAAAACACTCAAATACACCATTATTTATATATTTCCTAGTGCCTCTATATAAATTTGCTTTTTAGCTTAGGAGATGTTTATTCACTGTTTGAACACAGGTAGAAACACTAAGAAATTATGGGAATCACTGCAGTTATATTAAATGAATGCCTCTTACCCTCTCCATGGCATCTTGATTGTAAGACAAGTAATATAAGCACATGGAGACCCCTGTTGCTGCCATGGAAGGACGAGGAATCTCCAGCAACTTTTGCACTCCTCCATGAGCAACAAACTCCGTTGCAAATTTGTTGTGCAGCAGCAGTGATGCCAAATGCTAAGGAAGGATAAAAGCAGATTAGACTGGAATTCTTCAAACTGTCATCAATTCCATCCCCTGCCCCATAGAAAAACAGATGGCAGAAAAAACGAGTGCTCCATGCTTTGTCCACCTTATTTCCTCCTCCCATTACGTTTAACTGCAGAACATAGTATTTATCCTAATGACAAAAGCAAAAAAGGCATTTTCACTTTGTTTTACACATCTTGCAAAAGAAACACCAGAGAAAAGCAGAGCAACTCAGAAATTATCCAATAGGCCACTTTAAGTCTTCCTATTATTTTTACATTAACTCTTTTTCTATTATCACTAAGAAATATTAAATTTGCACTCACACTTTGTATATGCCATACTGCTGGCAAGAAGAATTTTACAAAATTAAGTTTAAAGGCTATGGTTAAAACTGAAGTCTGTAGCTGCACTGAAGTTTATTAACTTTACTTTCCTGTATTACCAACACCTTAAGAGGAAGCAGTAAGAACCACTGTAAACCCCACCCCACTCCCAAATCAGGTAACCTACACCTTTTGTAAGAACATTGCTCCTTAGAGATAAATTCTCAGACAAATGACCATGAAACAGAGAGAAAGATGACACTGGAGGACCACAGGTAGAGAAGTTACTATGAAAGAGGGAAAGAACATACAGAAAAATATAATTTGTGCTGCTGCCCTGCAGGTTTGGCTTGTAAAGGTTATTTTGTGTCTTTTTGTACCTCTGGGAGGTAGCCTAAAGACTACCCCCACAAAATTAGTGCATTTCAAACATTAAGCTCAGAGATGTCATGCTGGGGCTTTTGGAGTAAGACGCTTGTGCTTCTTACCCCTCAGAAATGTCCCTTGAGATGACAGCCAGTGGAACAACTCAGGCATGTCATCTAAGGGCAGCAGGAACACAAGTGTTTGACAGAAAAAGGTATTTTTATCATCTTCATATAGGCAGATGGCAGGTGAAATTAATGGCATTTCCTGCACAATTAAGACCTTTTTACCCCCTCACCCCTTTTTTGAGTTACAAAAGCCAATTCCAATCCCAGGGAATCCTGCAATATACACACACCTAAAGAAGGCGAACATTTGCCTTTGACACATGCAGCAGACATATTCAATGCTCTTACGATGTTTATGGTACATTTTATGCATTATGAAAGTAATTTACCTTAAGGGCTTCAAAAGTGAGCAGCACATCGTTGGTTCGCTTCAAATCGATGTAGTACATCATCAGCTCCCTTGACCCCAGTTGCATAAAGATGGGTAGTAGCTGAGAAAAAACAAAAATGGGAGACTAGCTGAATGTTTCAGGGGAAGTATCAGGTCTGTTTTGGTTTTGACTCTCTCAAACCCCCAATTTTCCCCTATTGGCAGATACCTGTTATGAGAGGTCAGTGGTAACCAGCTCCATCCATAGGAAGCAATAAAGGTTAACAGACCTCTTGTAATACATCTGCTGACTGCAGCAAGGTGCATGACAGCTGCCACATGGAAATCTTAAGACTCTCCTTCAAGTGCGGCTATGGCAAGTCCACACAGATACCACCCTGGCGATAGGTTCCACTTTCCATCTGTGCAAAGACAACTACCCAACAACTGAACAGAAAAAACAGGAGAGCAGGGCAACAAACCAAAACCCTTTGCATAATTCTTTGTGTAACAGCTTTATAGTATTAATTCCTATTTTTATATCCTATTATAGCTGGCATATGAAGTGATCCAGTCAACATGCAGGGTATTAGGGGGATAATGGTTTCTTTGGCTCTCACAGAAGCAAGGCACACACGTGCACACATACATAACATATATCACAAACCAAAACTGTGTTGCTTCGTTCTATTTCAAATTATGTTAAACCACCTAAAAAAGACTAAACAGAGATAAAGGTGCCCGGCAGACCTATGCTAATTATTTTTTAAGTGTTACGGTTGGAAAAAAAAAGAAAAAATGAAACACTTTGGTAAATCTAACGCTGCCCAGCTACTTTGTCCACGTAAGTAACAACAGCTCTCAAAAGCATCTGCGTAACATGGGCACTGCCATTTCTCGTCAGAACTACTGCAGAGGTTACACAAACCATTTCATTTAGAATTTCAAGGTCATTATTTCCTCATACTTTTAATTGCGTGAGTCTATCACATCCCCCAGAGGAAACAGGAAAAATGTCTGTATTTCAAACAAAGTGATTTGCCCTGTGTCATGTAAGCAATCAGCATATTTAACAGAAACCAGGAATGAAATTCCTAGTCCCATGCTCCAACTACTAGACCACACACCTGGTATGTTCAGGTTTGAGTATTACCTACTAGGTAATACTCAAGCTAATGACTTCATTGATTTGAAAGTCATCAAAAACTCAGGAAAGGTCACTGATCTTAATCAGGAATTATTCAAGAGCAGTATAACAGTTCTGCAATTTCTTCCCCACAATACCACTCATAGTTTTGTCGGGAGAATTCAAGCACAGAGTGCTTCCTCCCACCTTCATATGCTCACCTCTTGGTACTCCCCTAAGGGAGTCAGGTACTGAAGAATTAGCCTCTGCTCTATGGCGGGAGTCAAAGGGTAAAGTGTATAATTAGTGCCAATCACCCATGGGGACATTTCTGACCAGCTGCTGTTGGACAGTTCAACAAACATCCGCTCTGGTTCTGAAGTAGAGAAGCCCAGCTTTTGCTTGGCCTTCCGGAAGCCGTCTCTTTCATGCTGTTTCCCTAACTTGCTTTTTCTCAGTCCCCCATCATCTAGCTTTGTAGCAGAGTTTACTCTGCTACTGGTCTTGTGACTTGAATCAAGATGAAAGGAGATCTCCATATCCCCAGAAACTTCCTCTTGCTCTCCATCTACTGCCATCTCCCCATAGTCCATATCCACAGCCTCTTCATCTAGAGGCAGCAGAGGGTCTGATGGCACCTTCCGAGGACTGGGACGCTTGTTTTCTTGTTTTGTAGTCATTTCAGTAACCTGTAGCTCTCGTAGCCGCCGAAGCACCAAAGCCACCTGGTTCACAAAAGAAGCATGCATGAGAATACTCTTCTTGCTTTGATCATGCAACTCACATTGACCATATTTTTGTTCTTATCATACAACCAACTCCACAGCATAAAATGTCAAGCATGCTGTGGTGTACATTTGCCCAGAGAAATACTGATTTCAAAGTGAGTAAGCAGACTCCAATCCTTTTTGCTACAGTTACTTTAATTCTAAACTATCAGCACCTAGTCTCCTGAATGCGAAAGAAATGGCTTGAAAGCCATTAAGAGCAGATGAGCTGTATTGGTGCTAACAGGACCACATATCACCTTCCACCATTCTTCCATCATCTCTGCCTAGCCTACAATAAGGGCAACATTCCTTTTCAAAGCAGCAGCTGTGATAAATTGCAGTTCCACAAAACCTAAAGCCACGCTTTTACTTTTAAAGGCCTTAGCTGTGCAAGAATTAGAATTCAGCTATGCTTCAACACACTGTACACTGTGCTGGGAGACAAATTTGCCTATCCTACCTTCTTCCAAAAGTCCTCTCAATTGCTGATAAACATCACACAGAATCAACACTAAACTGGTGAAAGGTTTACAATAGAAGTGAACACAATTTCATGTTAGGTTGCCTCCGTGCTGATTTATCTTTCATTTTAAAATCTCTGTCCAGTACCTAAGACACAACATGCGATAGTTATCGATGTAAAGCTTCTGATTTTTTTTCTTTAAGGTGCTATGAATATGAGTCCCATTAAAAAGTATAGTATTTGCCTTCTTAGGTTTTCATTGTCATTTTAAACACAACTGGTATAACAGAATAATCAGGCCTTAGCAAATGCATGGTCAGGAAAGGATGGAAAGCATGAGCTACTGAGTCTTAAGATGTTATTATAACCACTATAAGACTCATATATTAACTCATGAATACAAGCTCCCCACAAGTAAAAAAAAGTAAAGGTATCTGCCCTCTGAAAAAGGAAAGTGATTGAGAGATTATTACCAATTGCGAGTTCTCATCCCTGTAATTTGCAGCAATATCTTGGTTTTCCATAGCTCCTCCTAATAGCCCTGTTGCATATGTCCGTAGCGGCTGATCAGCCTCTCGCGCCCACTTAAAGAGATTTTCAACTATGCCTTCCTAGAATGAAGAAAATAAGACAGCAATTCCAACAGTTATATTTCATTTTTAACTTGTCAGTCCCAGTGAAAGCATCTGTCGGTAACAATTCTCCCTATCTCTAGTAATAAGCAGGCTAGATTTCCTACCAATTATGTAACGAGTCAAGATTTAAAAAGATATGTAAACAAAAAAAAGAAACAACAACAAAACAACATTCTAAGCTGCATAAAACTATTCCCAGGCATCAGATATATGGAATCAGGATTTGCACACCTGCAAAAGTCTTCTGAAGTGGCCAGTCAACCTAATGCTTAGGAAGTAGTAAAACACTATAGGTATAAATTTATTAGTCCAAACAAACAAGCCCAAAGCTCCTGTCACTTGCACTAATATAAATCTTGAGCAATTTAGCGGATTTTAAAGAATCCATGACTTAGACCAAATAGAATGGAATTTGGCTAAATTTCTTACATTTCACTAAAAGCTTACTAGGGCTAAATTGAAAAGTCACTTAAGCAAGCTACCTGGTGCCAGGAACTCTTTACACTCATGACTACTCACCAACCAAAAGAACAATTCTCAACATAGTCAGAAATAGTTTGGAGAAGAGAGAAATGCATGCAAATATACCAATCTACATATGCAAATCTTAATGTTAAATATGGTTAATATTTTTAATAGTAACAAAATTAGCGGTGTTTGAACACAGACTGCAATGCAATTTTTCTTAACAAGGCTGTGGGTTAATTAAAACAATCAATTAAAAGACAATGGGCTAGAATGAAAAATTCTTTTTTTTTTTTTCCCCTCTAAATCACTATTGGTTTTTGAAATATCATACAACATCACATCATTATCGTGACAGGAATCTTGCACATAACTTGAACCATAGGTACAATACAATAAAAGATCAGCTAAAAGTAATAATGAATAGACATACATTTCAATGAGAACTCTCAGTTTACAGATTTTTAAAGAGTTGCCTGCTATATATTTCAAGAAGATTGCATTATTATTTAAATGCTCGTATGTCATTAAGGAAAAAAAAAAAACCCCACAAACGATGAGATGTGAAATACCTTGGCCGCTAGAGGACCTCTTTATGACCAGTACAGTACCCTCCATCAAACATATTTGTGAGCTATCCTAAAGCCACCTGCATACAGGAACCCAAAGTGCCATAACAGAGCTCTATATATTCTCAAGCAAAATAGTCCTTAAGTGCAAAACTTAACTCAAAAATTTAATTTCAATTTACAGAGAGATTTAGTCGCTGGGAAAAAAGCTACATCCTCCACTTTTGCTGTGCTTTTTTTTGCCTTGGATCAAAGTCTGACAGATTTAGCCTTTGGATAGATCACAAATATCTCAAATTAAATTCAATCCTTCACAAACAGACCACATTATATTCTTTCCTTTTATCATGCTCTACGAGTTCACATCCATATTTCCAATAGTAAAGAAATTAATTTACAACTTTTATATAAAGCATTACCTAATTGCCAAACTTCAGAAAAACTTTACATTAATTGTTACAGATGAGGAAACTGGGGATCAGGAGTGAAATCGACTTTCTCCTCACTTTCAACCCTCTGTGCATTCCTTCAGAAAACTACACTTGTCAACATACAGAAGTCCAACTCAGCTGTTCATCACAGTTCCAGATAATCCCCACAAAGCATGTGTATTTTAGACTGCTTAGTTAAAGTATGCCTTGCTTATCACTTAGCTCCAATAATGCTATCTCTCTGCTGTAGCTGAGGATTTCACAGAATCACAGAATCACTTAGGTTGGAAAGGACCTTCAAGATCATCAAGTCCAACCATTAATCCAGCACCAGCATGTCCCCTAAACCACGTCCTGAAGCACCACATCCACACATTTTTTGAACACTTCCAGAGATGGTGACTCCATCACCTCCCTAGGCAGCCTGTTCCAATGCTTGACCACCCTCTCTGTGAAGAAATCTTTCCTAATATCCAATCTAAACCTCCCCTGGCACAACTTGAGGCCATTTCCTCTCATCCTTATCACTAGTTACTTGGGAGAAGAGACCAACACCCACCTCACCACAACCCCCTTTCAGGTAGTTGTAGAGAGCGATGAGGTCTCCCCTCAGCCTCCTCTTCTCCAGACTGAACAACCCCAGTTCCCTCAGCTACTCCTCATAAGACTTGTGCTCCAGACCCCTCACCAGCTTCACTGCCCTTCTCTGGACACGCTCCAGCACCTCAGCATCCTTCTTGTAGTGAGAGGCAAGATTCCTATAGCAAGTCTTCACATTCTATATGGCCTGCTCCATTCACAGACCTAAGAAATAACAATTCAAAGTATACGACTTCTCAAAACATTACATTAAGTTCCAGCTCCCTCTGTTTGAATCAGTCCCATTATACCTTACAAGCTGAGAAACTAGAAAACAAGATTTGATCAGCTGAACAAGCCAACATCAAAAAGCCCCAAACCATTAGCAAGATTGAAAAGATTGTCTCCCAGAGAAAGGATTTCAATATGGCTTTTTACTGGTTTCGCCTCTGGGAAGAACTGTTGGAGTACATAATACACCAAGCTTAAAAACCAAGCTTTAGTATAGATGATACCTTTTCCTGAAAGACAACAGCTGTTTCCAGCCCCGGCATGATGTCCAGAAGAAGTCGGCAGGCAGCAGTGTTTAATGGAGGTTCTCTGCTTGTCATCACATAAGCATTCACTAGCTAGAGAAGATCAGGAACAACATTGGTTTGAAATTCAACTCTGACCAAAACCAGCGCAGTGAAAGCCTTACAACTCCCACAGCAGCAAAACAACAAAGTAAGAAATGTCAGTATGTAAATCCTGGATCTAAAGATGACTAGCCTTTAACCTGCTCCTTCCAGTACCTCAGAAGTTGAAATTACTTCTCAGAGAAACAGAATTCCCCTCTAATCTGCTGTTCGCTGACTAAATATCTATCTTGAACTGATTTGTAACGATAAATGCCTAAAAAAAAAAATTACAGTTCAGTAACAGCGTAAACATGAAAAGGTTAATAGCTGAAAAAAATTAACATAAAAAAAGGCACATTTTCAATGGCATCTATGTTTGCTTATCACTTGCAATTTAAGACTGAAAGCTACACGCAAACAATCTGTCAGAATCCTTACGGCAATGTGTACCGATACAGGCGCCTGCAGAGACATGAGGGTAACAAAAATTCTAGCTATTAACTCATGTTAGAGTATAGTAATGCAGGAGGAAAGCCAGACTCTTGCCTCTTAATCCTCTACCTGAGTCTTCTAGAGCTGACATACTCCTCTGCTTCTACAGGCAGTCCAGCATTTCCAAGTATTCAGAGACAAGGCATTGTAATTAGTGGTATTAAATTCCATTACAGAAATTATGCTTGAAAACTTGTATTAGAGGAGATACATTTTCTTTAAAGAGAGACTGATAAACCTTGAGAAGAACTTTTTCAATTGTTACTACACATACTGCAGCACTCCTGAATAGGTCATGAACTCCCCCTTCCTTGAGTCACTTTAACAGTGTCAAATGAGTTGCACTTAAATCCATTTTAAAAACCACTGCTATGGAAGAGATAGTTCCTACACCAGTAAAATAAATATTAAATAAGTACTGAGGTCAACCAGCACAGAGTAAACAAAAATCCTAAGAAGGTGTCAGAATTGACAGAGAGAGTTCTCAGAGCAAACCTACCGCATTCATGAAATCATCATTCTTGAAAAGTATCCTCAGTAAGTGACCGAGCATGCACTCTGGGTCCGCTCGACCTGTGGGAGAAACAGGAAAAGATTTATCTACCTACCTCAAGACGTCAAGATTAATACTGCACTGCTAAGTTCAAATTGACTGCGAAATACTCGAGCTAGCAGGACCTTTCTCAGAAGGAAAATTACAGAAGAAACCGTATGAATTATTCACCAACTTAACATTTTTTCTAGTAAGCATTACCTCCCCAGACACCTACTAGTCAAAGCACAACACATTTTAGTTATCCAATAGTATTGAACTATCATTTTTGTAGACAGAAGATGCAGACAGTAGGCAAACTGGTCCAGTAACTTGGAAATAACTGATCTCCAAAAAAAATATAAAAATCTAAGGATAACAAGATAAAAAGCATTACTGGCTATATGTAACCATTCTAAAGCACTGCACTTAACAGCAAATTCAAGATAATCTGAGACAGACTTCTCTGTCCATCTAACAGCCACTATTCACACTAGCTGCAACTTGTTAACATGATCATACTCTTATGTCATAAGCCAGCCTCTTGAAACACTCTTCCAAAATGCAGGGCCTCAAAATCTTGCAGCAAACATCAAAACTGCCAGGTATCAGCACTACAGAGCACAATTACCCAGTGCAAAAGCAGTATCAGACCTTGATCAGCAGTGGGCACATTCAGGCTAAAAATCACTTACTCTTAAATATGAATTACCCGGCATCCACTGTAACAGAGTTGGTGCTGCCAAAACCATTCACGACATCTTACCTGGGTGTCGGTCATCAAACGGATCTGGATCCCCTTTGCGGTACTCTTCAGTCTCCTTCTCAATCAGCTCGGACATTCTGCAGAAAGAATAACACCAAATGAGCAGAATTCACACTCAGTCTTCTCTGAGTACACAGCTCCGCACTATCTGTCAAAGTACTATAAAACAGCTCATCAACTTCCATTCGAACGGTATTCAGTGCTACCGGAGGAATTCATACTGTTCACAATAGAGGGGTGACAGAAGAGACTTGCCTTTAATATCTCATCTCCGCCCCCACACTCCAACCATATCAACATCCCAGTGATGCACAAGCATGACACTCTGGAGGGGCCAATACCTTTATGTTAGAGTCCTGGTGATGTTCTACAACACATACTGTAGAAAATGAGAGTAAATAATGGGCTTGTGTAGTACTTCTCACCATCACATAGTCTTTCTTTTGCAGTAGAGTAAGTCCTGAACAAGTGAGTTAGTCCTCCTTCCTATTCAGTTTGTGCAGGAGCAGATGCTCAAACTACCTACACAATTTTTAATTATTTTTACATTATTAAAATTTAATAATATTGTGTAATAATAAAATTATTTAATATTTAATAAAGTACTGTGTAATCTCTATTCAGCTTATCCCTGCAGCTCCACAGAAGAGAGCATGTGTCAGTTACCACAATGGTTAAGACAAGGAGAAACTCAGCCAGCTCCCTATTCATAGACCTTCAAAATACATTAAATGCTCCTCTGTATCAGAAAAAAAAATGGAGGTTGCTTTGAAGTTATGCTTTCCCCTAAATTGAGAAGCAGCCTCAGCAGACACAAGAGATCCTATGCTCTAATTCATTTAGAATGAGCAGTAAGAGAATGAATTATTATTTTTATTTAAACAAAATCAAGAGGGAGATTATCTCACAATCAAGCAATAAATAATTCCATAGTCAGCTACTGTCTTTCTCCACAAAGTGTTATAGCAGATATATATGCAGTTTGAGGTGAAATAAAGAGCAGTATTCAAAAAACATTAGCAACTTAAATCTTATCTCCTTGGTTTAAAACCTCATTCCCTCCCCTCTGCTGAGGTCTAGAGTGGGGTGCGGAATGTATGTGCAGCACAGCATTTTAAAACATCATCTTAATACCTCAGGGCAGTGATCTAGACAGAGTTTGTTATAGGGGAGGGAAAACTGCTGGAAAGCTGCAGTAATTCCTGGAAAAATGTTTGTCTTTTGCATGGGCTTCCCCTTACAGTATGCCACTGAATTCTACTTCATTCTTTTTACTTTCCAGGAAATATCCTGTGTTCCCAGGGACAATTAGAGGCAAAAATGTACTTAAACCTGCTTCTGTGAACTACACTGACTTGCCAGTATGACAGAGGATGATGTTACAAAGCCTGCCCTGACTGTAGGAACAGCAAATTGGCTTATCAGGAATGAGCAGAGAACTTTCCTGCTTGTCTCTGATCTGACAATTACCTTTAGGCAAACTGTTTATCCTGTGGGGTTCCAATATTTACTTTTAGTAAGCCTGAATGTGAAGAGATGCAAATTGTGTCCCTTGCTAACTGGTGGCACAGCTTGAGCTCTCATGAGTTTCTGGCAAAAGCAAGTTACTCAAATACTCCACTGCCAGCTCCTCATTTTTTTCCATGAAAACTAATAGCTTGAGGGGTGCCTACTGACAGACAACTGGGAGAAGTGGGGAGTTGAGAAGCTGCACCCTAGACTTGTCACATCTTTTTAGGTGATAATCAGCATTTTGATTATGTGCCAGAAAGGACAAGACAAGCAGCATGTAAAGTGAGCATAACATTCTTATGAGTCCATCTTGTTTAGGTAGGCAGCCAAACAGCGTGCCAGCTGAAGCTGCTGAGTGGTTTCAGGGACAACAACATTATCACAGCCTAGATGAAACAAGCACATGAATCACCAATTATAGGCGGTTTTGAGACAATTAGTCACAATTATTTGACGAAAATAAAAAAGCACTGCCTCTTTAAAATTGACTTTCAAAAAGAAAAAGAAAAAAATTAAATTTGCTTATAATACCTTCTTTTAAGTAACACATATAAAGGTGGTTTGTGAAGCAACTTGGATGAATCTATCTAGAACAACAGCTTTGTCAAATCTCAGTTGAAGCGACAGGAGAGTCAAATAACTAACAAAGTTCATTCCTGCCTCATAATAGAGACATACGGTACACAGGGCTTTAACAAAAACACTGAACTTTTATTCAGGTTTTGAGATTTCATTACTTGGCATTATATTGGTTCTCCACCCACTTCAGAGTTTGCTCACAAGATCTAGGTTTTACACAGGGGTAGGGTTCCTTCCCCCTACTTCTGACTAATTTTTTTTCCCTCTTTACAGCTGTCTTTGAGATCACCTTTGGAAAGTTAGTCAGATCCTCATTTTCACTTGCCACAAACTGAGCTCACCTTGGGGCTGGGAAAGGAAGGGGCAGTGGCATACATAGATGTATGTCAATTTTGCAAGACTCCCAGTGATCTAGATGGCATAATATAAAGCCATCCTAAAATTGCTTTATGCCACCACTTGGCATTAATGACCAATCTAAGCCTTTACAACAGATTGCAACAGCGTTAACATGCTCTAGGATCCCAAACCACAACACACATGGTTTGGGAAGATGAAGTATGCTGATCTGTTCCCTTTATGAAAGGGGCTCTTGGGATGCAGTGAAGGATCTGACTCCCAGGATTTGCCAGAATGGTTGAACACTACTTGCATCCAGACTATGAAGTAATGCTCTTGCAGGATCATTTCAATTCACAATATTTTTGAAAAACATATATATTAAATATCTGTTGTTTGCTGAGATGCTTTCCAAACAATTTCTTCAATTCATACCTTCTGACACTCCAGAGTTTTGTAAATCCAGAAAACGAGTTTATTTGGAAATTACAATTCCCTTGTGGCCTATAAGCTACACTGTTGCTGTTCTTGTCCTGTTGCAATGCTCACTACTGCACACTCACACGTGCTGCCTCGGCATCACATTTAACGGGCCCCGAATCACGCAGGGAAGTTTTCTTCCGTTTAGCTCAGAAGGAAGTAGCAAAAACATCACTCACCAACAAGCATGACCACAGCTGCTTCTGCCTTAAGTCCAAAACAACATGCAAAGGGCACTACCCTGCCTCAGGACATAAGCTAACACAAGCTCCAGTTGGTGAGGATTCCTAGCATCTCTTCCAGCAAATTCTTGTAAACCTAGGCTGTATCCAAAACCCTCTACTCCAGACAGACATATGGCTTTCACTGATACCTGAAGCACTGTAAATCCAACTTCTGTCAGAGCCAATAAGTCCCCTTGCTATCTACCTTAAATAAATCTGTATTATCTCCACTAAAGCCAAAATACCCAAGCTTTCACCATCTGTAACCACTCTGCCTGCTGTACAGAGATCTTGGAGAACCAAAAGATAGTTATCAGACTTGTCTGGGCATAAATAATGTATGGAACTCAAGGAGCTGAGAGGGAGCAGGAAGTGCCAGACTGCTATAAACACAAGAAAAGACATGTTTAATTGAAATTTCTTTTAAATTTCTTAGATTATAGTAAATTTCTGCTGTTTATGTCTGCAAGAAAAAGGCTGGAAATAGCACGTTTCCTTCAAGAGACCAATCAGACAATATGCAAAGATACACCAAAACATGCCTTGTGATTGTCCAGAGACCTACTCATTTTCAAGTGTTTATGATTGGCTTTCCGCTGCTAATCTCCTCCTTCTGTGCTGCTTTTTAAAACATAGCAAGAACAGCAAAAAAGTTGTGCCCACTAGGTAAGGCACACCACAGATCTGTGCAAAGATGTTCCACCAGATTCCTTTTATTTCTACCTAGTGCCAGCTCAGAATCTGTGCACTGACTTGCCTGACCCAACAACGTAGAGCAGCGCAGTACAAAATCCTGGATTGCTCTTAACGTACAAGTGCAGTAAGTCCTTCTGCGTATACTAGGCAGGCCACAGGTCTGCCAGCAGAGGCACGAGGAGGAATTGGGTGGAATTTCTGTGAATCTCCTGTTAAAGCAAGAGTAATATCCGTTTATCCAAGAGAGGCCTGGGTTGGGAAACCACAAATGCAACTGATAATTCAAACGTTTCTCTTGTAATAGAAGAAGTCTTATAATGAATGGTGTTATTAGTACCTACATATCTCCTAAAAATAATTTGTATGTCCAGGGAATATTTTCATTACACATACAATACAATGCCAGTCAATCAACATCCAGTTTAAAAAAATTAATCAAGTTCTAAAATTTCACCTTAAACATGCCCTATGAACTTCAATAAAACCTTCTCAGTATAACACCCTTGATTCACCCAATATATCTGACCAATGTTACTATGATCACAAATCCCACACCACCACTCTGACGGAACAACATTCTCAAAGCTTTCAATCTTGATCAACATTTTACAAGGTAAAGATACAAAAGTTATTTCAACTACTTAATGATTGTCCTGACCTCTATTATTCCAGAGAATTAAATTAATGTTTTAGAGACAGCCTGTGTAAGATCTTTGCAATATAATTCCTTACCAAAAATTGTATGTATTTAAACACAACACTTACAGTTCAACTTTCAGACCAAAGAAAATTAATTGCCAGCAGGTAATCGGGTATGTAAAAACCTCAAGGACAAGGCTGGTAAAAGCTGCTGTCAAGTAACTTCAAATATTCAGATTTAGGAATTTATTTAATATCTTACCTGGTGAGAATAGGGACCATGTCTTGCCCACTGCCATGTTCTTTCTCCCATTGCTCAAGCAAAGCAGTGAGCTCAGCCTTGGAGTCCACATGCCCAGATCCTGAAGTCATGGCTTAGCCTGAGGCAGAGGTAACAACAACAAAAAAACAAAAAAAAAGAGCAGAAAAATTAGCACAAAACCCCACACAGTTTTGCTATATTCATTGAAATAATCTAAATGAAAGATTGCAAGTCATTTGGAAGAGGAAATTAAATACTCAGCAACAAGGAGTGAGAAGAGAGAAGATTAAGCGACAGAATACTGCTGAACTTCACTTTCAAGGCTGGAAGTTTTTTTTGGTCCTCTGCCCGAATAATAAAGAACATGCGCATACTTTGAACACAAGTCTTAACTGGTGTATGACAACCCTGACCATCATGTGAAGTATGCACACCTAACCACAACTGTGTTCAGTATTGAAGTTTTTTTAAAACTACCTCAATTCCATGAGAGTCCTTTGCTGTTGCTCAGGGATTTACTCAAGAAACAACAAAGCTAGGGCAGCAAGATTATGACCAGTGTCATTATTCCAGTTTAACACCCTCCAGACAGCAGTGAAAGTGCCAAGAATCATATTAGCTTCACACTGCTAAGGAGGCAGAAGGCAGCAGTGCTGCACAGTTGTGGGCAGTGGCAGGAGCACTAAGAAGGTGGTAGTTGGGAAACAGAGCAGGTTGCCGCATCGTTACTTGTTCAAGGTTCCCAAGAGCAGTCAGTAGCTCTAGTACGAAGGAAGAATGATCACAGGAGGGAGCACTGGAGCAATTCAGGTTTATCAGCCTTTACTTGCAAGACAGCAGCTGATGGAAGACTTATCTTACCATCCTCAAAAGTGGGATCCCTCTACAGTACCGACTTGTTAAGGTATCATTTAATTAAGGGAACTATTACTCTAGATTCTGTTTAAGCCTCTAAATTTCCAGGTGTCAATTTTTGTCAGTCTTATAAAAATCTACTAGAAATATCAACAGACCAAACTAGAACACAATCTGTCTCACAACACAGCCATGCCCTTAGTTTTCAATCTGACAGACTGTGATTGCTGTGAAGAGTTGTAACTTCTGGAGGAAGGAACACCCAATCTGAGTTTATAAATTGACCTTGTATTGGAGATGGGAGTTGGGGGAGAAATTGAAGCAAAAGAAATTCTTTCACATCCAAAAATGCAAAAAAAATTTCCAGCATGTCATTAGCCATAACATGGCCAATATCCATCTGCCATGAGATAAAATATCCGTTTGTCCTAACTGACCCAGAGAAAGAACTTTCCAAAACAACGTTAAATACAGGTATGTTTAAGAGAGTGACATACACACCAACTCCTGAAATACATATTCAGGCATCAGTCAAATGATAGACTATAAAGGGAGCCATAGGTCAACATAGATTACATCAGTATTTATAGCCCAAGTTCATCACCATGTTTAACTGAGTGTTGGATGCCTCTACTCTGCTTAAAACTTTTTGTCATTCAGGGAATGGATGAGCAACCCTACATCTCTACCTCCTGTTTCACAGGTGCTTCTGAAATTAATGTATCGTGACTGGTTAGTTAAATGGGAGACAACAGGGGAAGATCATCTGGCTGAAGATGAAACTGGCAGAAACTGCACAAAAATCACCACCCAAAGACTACAATAAAATAAGCCTGCGACTACAAAACACCCAGTCTGAAGAACACCATTTTGATAAGTACTATATGAAATGAGCATATGCTAACAAAAAGCCTACCCAAGCATAAAGAAAGATGATGTTTTCTAAATGACAAGTAATTATGATTTTATCTAGAGCATTCATTATTCATTCATCACAGAACTAGACTGGGAAATTTGATGGAAATGCATAAAACGCTTCAGAAAAAACACTACCTAAATGCAGGCAACAAAACATAACGAGATTGTACACACACACGCCAAAACACCTTTGAAAAGGAAAACTATTATTCCAAGCTCATAAAGCTCCATTCCCTTTTTCATTAACTGAACAACACTTGCCAGCAGCACTTCTGAGCTTTTAAATATCACAGACGAACATTCAGACAAATCTGCTCTGAGCCTCAGAATACAAGTGTTGTAACGGTATCTGCATTCAACCATTTCAGACATCTCCACCTTGATTCTATACCCAAGGGATATAGAAAGAAGTGCCTTGTGACCCCAGAGCTTGTATAAGGCCTGTACAGGCTCTCCTGCAATCTGAAGAACAGTGTACTTCCCCCAACAACCCTTAAGTATTCCAGCTAGAAAAGAAGAAAGGTCCAGCAGTACCTGCAACAGGTCAGCAAAGTTCCAGTCAGGAAGACCACAGGCTCTGCTCACATCGCCCTCTGGGACATCCAGCGCTATGCCATAACCAAGTGAAAACAGAAAAATCCCAGCTGTCCCTAAATCCTGGGGTATTACCTCACTTAAAAGCACATTATGGGTCTAAATAACTGGTGCTGACACACAACTATTTGCCCGAAATAAAGTTAAAACATGAAAATGCCACGCTTTCTATAGGTACGCAGTAATGAAAGTAAATGTCTCACCAAGGCAATTCATCTATTCCAAAGGCTTATCCCTCCCAACCTATTCAAATAAACTTGACTATTCTAGATGGCACAGCAAAGAGCAGCAACAGCAAAAAATTACCTCAGAAGCACCTACTTCCACAGTTGTCATATTAATGCATGTTAGCAGTAAAATATACATGGATGGCAGGTGAATGACTTTTTAAACACAAGAACCAAAGCAATTCCTACTGCGCTCACTTTTTTCAAGGATTCCATCTTAAACCAAAGTGAAGAACTCCGCAAAAAGGATAGGATCATAAATGGCATGTCCTAAATTGTAACTGTCAGAAATACACCCAGCCTGTTGGAGAAGACGACCTGTGAGAGTAACTCTGACTTCCACTATTTCCCTTGGACAAGCTGGTGAACAAATTCTATCTTAAATTGCTCTCCAGAAACTAGCAGAACAGGGAGCAGCTATCTCATTGTGGATTTAAACTGGGGGGTGGGAGTGTAATTTTTTTTATTAAGTTTTGAAAATCATGGCCTACTACAGATTTCAATTACAGTATCTAACAAGCTCAAGAATGGAATTTTTTCTTCCCAAACACTACTATTGTCAAAATATCATATTTAGAATCAATAGAACTGATATAAACAAAACAACGCACTTACTCAAAGCATTTGACTTAGTAAGACAAATATTTACAACCTTAACTATTACTCACTGTGAACACTCCCACTGAAAATCTACACATGCATGTGCACACAGTATTGCTTTAACATTAAGCACTACTTTGCATTCCAATAGCAGAGCAAAGGTTTTGTGAGCATTTTACTTTTCTGAACTCAGATGTAAAAATTTGACCGGAAAGGGAAACCCAAAGAAGTATTCAGACACAGATACCTAGAAGTACTCACATGTTTTTGAACTCTCAAACACCTCTGCACTTGAGTCACCTTAGTCAGATGCCTCTGACCAACGAAGAAATAAAAGTCCTGCTGACCTCTAACTGCAGACCTTGATAAGCGCACGGTAGGGTTCAAGCGGTTC